ACCACGGAGGAATTTAACAAACCAACACACATACACACCCACACGTGTATTGTAGATTTTTCACGGGTATAGGTATGCAGGTCTTGGCGTATTCGGGTCTTTTCCCGTGTAAGATTGACAGTATCTTGGCGACGTTTCGACGAGGTCCCACTCGTCATCTTCAGGCTTCAGTGCCTTTAGCTTCGTGCTTGTGCGAGCAAAGCGTGATCGGAGCTGCCGTTTTTCTATAAATATAGGTGGGGGTGTGTGGAATGTTGGCTTTGTTGCTTTAAACGGATTGGTTGGTTGTGTTTGTCACCAGCCTGAAGATGGCGAGCGGGACCTCGTCGAAACGTCGCCAAGATACTCTCAATCTTACACGGGAAAAGACCCGAATACGCCAAGACCTGCATACCTATACCCGTGAAAAATCTACAATACACGTGTGTGTGTGTGTGTGTGTTTGTTTGTTTAATTCTGCACAGTTGTTTTTTTTTTAAATGAAATAAAACAGATGAACAGATTAGAAGAAAGAGTGACTTCAGCGTCAGGAACATTTTGTGCCAGGGCTGTGTTTCCTTTTCGGCATCTTAGACAAACTTTGTGCAGGTCAGGTGATACCCTCAGTGAGACCTGGTAGGTGCCCATTCAACCAGGGTTAGCAGCTAAGCAAGACCCACAACTCAATCCCCACCCAAGGGGGCAGAGGGGAGGCAGAATAGGAGTACATGTGTTTTGTACTTGCAGGAATTCTGGGAGTTGAAGTCCACAAGTGTAAAAGTTGCCAAGTTTAAAGAGCCCTTTTCTAGTCGGTCTCATCTGTTGTTTACCAGTCTCTTTTGCCTTTATTTTATTTTTTTTGCAGCTGGCCGATACTCTGAAACGGCTGAAGGACAGTGGTCTGTCTTCGGCAGGATCCTCCACCACCCCGAACAGCAGCACCCCATTCTCCCACGACACGGCCTTTTCCAGTTGTCGACAGGACACCCCCAACTCCTACAGCCAGTTCACCCCCCAGTCGCAAGGAACGCCTCTGACGCCACGCCTGGGGACCCCCTTTTCCCAAGACTCCGCCTACTCTAGCCGACAGACCACGCCGGCCTACCATTTCGGACAGGACTCCGGCTACAAACCCCGGAGGCACGAAACGAAATTCACGGACGCTTATAACCGCCGTCTGGGCCACCACTACGTACATAACTCAGCCGGGACTTTCCGAAGCTCCGAGCATCAATTCGGCACCTTCAAGTCCCATCAGCCGGAAACGGTGCAATATCCCCAGGCGTCCCCCGTGAGTCACACAGGTGCTTCGACGTACAAATCCGCCTTCTCCCCCTACCAAGCCCCAGCCACCTACCCCCAGCCCGAAGAGCCCCCGTTTTCTCAAACGTCCCGGGAAGTGGAATACCGGCGGCCCCCACTTCCCACTGAGGTGACCGTCGAAAGTAGCCCAGCTCCTCCGGTGGAATTTGTTCCTGCAAAGGACAAACCGGAGGAGCCCCCTCCTCTTCCTCCGCCCCCGCCTCCCCCAGAGCCCGACAGTCTTACCGAGCCTTCCGTTGGGCCGTCCTTCGGCCAGACTCCGGAACGGAGCGAGACACCCGGCACCCCGACTGTAGAATCGGAAAGTCAGCCGAACAGTTTGGACACGAGGATCGAAATGCTTTTAAAGGAGCAGAGGAGTTTTATCGAGCACGACTCGGACAACGAGATACGGATGGAAGGCAGCCCCATTTCTTCGTCCTCTTCCCAGCTTTCCCCGATCCCGAACTCGCAGCCCAGCTATCGAGTGCAAACCCCTTCCTCGCGCCCTTCCAGCACTGGCTTGGAAGACATCAGCCCGACCCCGTTGCCCGATTCGGATGACGACGAGCCCATTGGCGGGGTGGCTTCTGCCTGCCAGAACTCGTGGGGGGCAGCCGAGGCGAGCGTCACCCCTGTGGACCAGCTGAACCGGACTTCCAAATCGGAGCCCTTGGAGGCTAAAGAAGCGCAGCCGGTTAGCAGCAGCCCCGTGCTCGAAAAAATGGAAGAGGTAAGGGAGCAGATGGGCATGTAGTCCTCGGGTTAGGAGCCCCCAAATAGCCGTCGTTAAGTGAGACGCGGGTTAGGCGAGTTTTGCCCCACTTTTCGACTCTTCTCGCACCGTTGTTAAGTGAATCAGTTGTGCAGTTAGGAAGACGGTTCGAATCTGGCTTGTCGGAAGATCACAAAAGAGGATCATAAATACAAGTCAGTTGCCATGCGTCCGAATTTTGATCACGTGGCCACAGAGATGCCGCAACGGTCGTGCGAAAAACGGTCACTTTTTTTCTTGTAACTTCGGTCACTAAACAAACCGTTGTAAGTTGAGAACCACCTTTATTGGCGGGAGTTGCAGACATTCAACCTTGTCTGAGAAATCCATTGGCGTCTGCTCCCCTGGGGGTGTACGGGTATTACGATCGTTCATTTAGCGAGCAAAGTTACAATGATAACGGGGGGGAAAAAACGGTATTCGGTTCTCCTATTTTGCAAGAGACGGTCCAGTCCAAATTGCGGTCGTTAAGTCGAGGATTTAGCGAGGTAGTCATAAGCCTGGATTACGTTCGCTTTATAATGTTCGGTTTGTAAAACTGGGTCTTTCAACCTGCTTGAATGTCGTGTGTCCTTTTGGAAATGATTATAAACCACACCGGACATTTGAAAGGGGGAAAAAAAGAATTACTCCGTTTATGCTCGAAGACCCTGATTTTGCTAACTTTGGGAATAAAAAAATAATCCCAGCCAATGCTATCTCTCGCTCGCCGTATGATGGAAACCCATCTCTCTGTCAGCTGTTTGGAGTTTCACAGAGGGATGCTTCGTTTCCCGTCCTGCAATGACTTTCCCGCAGGAAGCCAGATTCACCCCCGGAGCGTTTCGTGGTCCCCCCTGGAACGCCCATTTAATTCCGGGAGCAATGGATCCATCAGGTGGTGAATGCTTTTGAATGTCACCTGGTATGGCGTTTCAGAAGGAGTTCCCCTATTTTTATGAGCAATTGGATTGTGATGACACCTTTTGATTCCAACCCAAAATTCAGATAATAGCTAAACGTTTTGAATAAGATGTTGGATAGCCATTTGTCTGAATTGGTGTAGGGTTTCCTGTCTAGGCAGGGGGCTGGACTAGAAGACCTCCAAAGTCCCTTCCAACTGTGTTATTCTATTCTATTCTATCGTATTCCTTATTCTATTCCCTATTCTATTCTAAACATGAGCCGAGGTGGCGCAGTGGTTAGAGTGCAGTGCTGCAGGCCACTTCAGCTGACTGCTATCTGCAGTTCGGCGGTTCAAATCTCACCGGCTCAAGGTTGACTCAGCCTTCCATCCTTCCGTGGTGGGTGAAATGAGGACCCAGACTGTGGGGGGCGATATG